TGCTGCTGCCGCCGCCACTGCCATTGCTGCGGCCGTTGCTGGTGCCGCTGCTGGTGCTGCTGGTGCCGCTGCCGCTGCTGCCGCCGCTTCTGTCGCTGCTCGTCCTGCTCGTCCTGCTGCGCCTGTTGCCGTTGCCACTGCTGCTGCCGTTGCTGCTGCCGCTGCTGCCGCTGCTGCTGGTGCTGCTGCGGCTGCTGCCGCTGCCACTGCTGCTGCCGTTTCTGCTGCCGCTGCCGGTGCTGCAGGTGCTGCTGATACTGCCGGTGCTGCTGGTGCCACCGCAGCCGATGAGGCAGAGGCGCCGTGGCTCACCGGGTGCGGGCCAAGCCTCAAACACATGCCCCTGGCCCTCCTGCAGCAGCGCCCGCACCAGCTCAAGCTCCTGTCACGCGCGAAGGGCGACAAAGTAGAGGGGCATGGCTGACGCCGCTATGTGCGTGTGTGTGGTCGCCTCAAATGCTGTGCCCGACACCGTCCCAGGTCTGGGGCTTCGCATGAGAGACGCGCTTTGTGTGTTCATTGCCCCCCTGCCCCAGCTACCATCGGGCCTTACAAAAGCACGAACACGGTGATGCGGGACTGCTGAATTCCCCCACCGCTTGGAATTGTGTGATCTCTTATCCAAGGGCCGTTGCAAAGGGCGCCGGGCGGTGCGCATGGACCATCAGCACCCCTATGCGGACCTTGGCGGTAAGCAGGGCCTCGTTCCCCTTGAGGACCGCCGCCACGGCATCCACTGCCGGCGGCGCCTCCGCGGCAGCAGCGGCAGCGCCCGCCGCGGCCGCGGCGCCCGCGGCCGCGGCGCCGGCCGCGTGGGCTGTCGGGGCGTGCGGCTCGTCCGCAGCGTGATCTGGGAGCTCCTGCATCTGGATCTGGCCGTCACCGTCGACTTGATCACCCGCTTTCTTGCGCTCCTTACAGTACCTGAGCAATGGCATTAGTGGAGTAAGCAGGGAGCCAGGGATGCAGCGTAGCAGAAGGCATGTTGCACGGCGGCCTGCCAGCGAGGCGCGGCAGGTGCGGTGCGTTGCACCCACCTGCTCGCGGCAACGGCGCCCGCTGCGACAATCCCAGCGCCAACGAGTGTCCCTGCGCAATGACAGGAGGATCGGGAATGAACAACGCCTGCAAATGCACCCGGTCGCGGGCACAGGCCGCGCTCGACGGCATCTCTCTTTAGTCAGATACCGTACCTAGCACGCGGGCGGCCATTTTTGTGCCAATGGGCCTCGGATCACGGGTTTGCTGCCACTGTCCAGGCGGCAATCTCGTGCGCCTTGTAGACTCGCCTAAAACTCGCTGCACCTAGAGCAGGCCTCAAATTCTCAGTGGCATCCGAATAATTGTGGGGGATGGCGGTTGCATGCAGACAAGAACGGCGCGGCAGCTGCGCTGCAACCCAACTGCAACCAGCCGCGACTGCACGTGCATCCATGCTGATGGACAGCAGATTTGAAGATTTGAGAGAGGCGCCAACTCAAGATGGCTGGGTGCGTGGTTTGTGAGGACAAGACTGCACAGCCTTTGGTCAAATCCGGTGTTTTGACTACTTACATGTCGGCTCCTGAAGAGCTCGATCTCACTTCGAAACGGCCCACACCCACCACTGGCCGTGCCCATGCAAGCAGCCCCGTGCACATGAACAGATAGGGTTTGGCTGTCCAGGAAACACATGTATTTTTCTGCCAACAGTCCGCACATGCAACAATGGTGCAAATGCTCACGTTTGCACAGCCATGGCATTTCTGGTGTGGCCGCATGCTGCGCCCATCACTCCCATGTACAGATCTGGGCCGTAGAGCTCTGTTTACAGCCAGGTGTCCTTGCCAGGACTGTTTGATGAACGATGCTGACAGCAGAGCGGTAGATGGCGGAAGGCAGCCATGAGCTGTGGGCTGTGAAGGTGAGTGGGGAACAGTGCCAGTCAGCTGGCAGCTGCCGTATCTGCAAGGACAACCTGGCACACCCATGCTTAAGTGGCTTGACAGTGAGATTTAGGCAGATCCCCCACTGAGACACACATTAGTGGTAGTGGCGGGCAAGGCGGCAATTTGTACACGGTAAGCAGATCGGCCACAGGAGCGTGCGTCGGCAGTGGCACGCTCTATGTGTCAAGCCGTCAAAAGAGCATGTCTGCCACCACGGGGCCAGCAATTTCCGTTATTTGTGTCGCTCGCCACCTGCCATGGGGTTGCCCTGCCAGCACGTCAGCCGTAAACACAACACTGTTGCGCCCGGCCCACGGACTGCCTCTGTCATCAAGTAGGCATCCCCAGCTGCGCTTGTTCAAAGTCTGCTGCGCGCAGTACCGTAGTGTCCTGACAATCATCGTAAAGTTTCAGGTATCAGCTAGATTCAACGCCAACATAAGCCCGCGACAGTTGCATTGGCGGAGTTTGCCGTAGATCCCGCTTGCATCAGTGCGATCTGCGTGTCTTCAATCATTGATAGGATACATCTCTGATTACTCGGTGCTCGATTGCACTAGCTGGCCCGCTCTGCGCGAATTGCAGGCGCACGGTTGACCAGCAGCACGTGCGGTGGTGCTGCACTCCCGTGGTGCCGCAGCCCGCCACAGCACCTATGACCTTTCAGACAGACATCTGCAGCAAGGAGGTGGGCTTGACTTGGTGACGGGCAATTCAAAAGCTGTCAACCACCCGTGAGGAGCCTGGCGACTTGCACCACGCACACATCCCCGTGCGCCCCACCGCTCGCCGCTCGCCCCTGCATAATGGTCTGCGCCTGCTGCGCTGTGCTGCACAGGCGTGGCAGTGTGAGGTCGCGGACGGCGCTTCGGGGGCGCTGCAGGTGGTGGAGCTGTATGCAGACTGGGCCGGGCCCTGCAAGGCTGTCAAGGAGCTGTTTCGCAAGTTGTATTTCGACCATGGGGATGGCGGCGCAACTGGGGTGCCCCTCAAGTTCTACACGGTGAGGTGAATCAGGGAAGGATCCTGGTCATCATGGAAACAGGATCTCTTGCTGGGGCCAAACAAGCGCAGCATAGAGTTTTGGGGTGCCCCCCAAGGCGTCTTGTGGTGGCTGGGGAGGCTCTTTAGGCTACTCCCGCACACACGAGAACAACCCAGGCCCCCGCCCCGACCTTTACAGGTGAATGTTGACCGTGTCCCCGCTCTGGAGCAGCACAAGGGGCGCTGCCAGCCGCTGTTCATGATGTATAAGGTGCGTATCTGTACGCACGCGCGCCCGCATCTCATGCGTGCGGTTGGCCGCATGATGCGGCCAACCGCCCCCAGCCTGCGAGCAGCTGCAGCTGCAAGGCCACATGTCCTCAGGCGTGCGGCGAAATTCCAACAGGGGTTTCTCTCGGCAGGCTCAGCGTTGGTTGTCTTTCGTGCGACACGCATCCAGCGGCTCAGTCAGTCACCATGGGTCACCGTCGCCCCGCGCTCAGGACGGGCGGTTGCTGGACAAGGTGGAGGGAGTGGAGGGCCCGAAGCTCACGCACCTGGTGACGTCGCTGTTAAGAAAATAGCGGGCAGCAGTGGCATGGCTTCGCCTGCTCTTGGCGCTCACATGGGTTGAGCGCTCAGGGGTGGGGGTCCGCGCTGGTGGTCGGGCGGAGTGCGTCAAGCGTGGGCATGCCGCAGCAAAGCCCAGTTGTAGCCGTGCGTGTTTCATTACATAACCAATGACATGCATGGCGAATGTTCTGTGCAAGCTGCGAGTAATAGAACGACGATTGCCAATGGCCACATGATGCCCACGTGGCACGTGATGCCACTTCCAGGGCGACCTGGCAGCACGAGCAGCTGTGGAGTCGCGTTGCTCCGGGGATCGGGGCGGACATATGGCAGGCTCGGCTATCGGGAGAGTTCTGAATGCATTTCAGATTAGATCAAGCAGGTCGCCAACTGTTTTTGTCGAACATCCCAACCCTCGTGGGGCGGCCACGCATCAAGCACGCCTTTTTGTTCGCATGCGCTGGTCACATGCACCTCACTACCGCAGCGAAAAGTTGACCTGATACCAAATATATACAGCCGTCAGGCCTCGAGACCGTGGGTTGCGCGTGAAGCGTCGGGACCTGTGGCACGCGTCAGCAACACTAGGAGGCCGCGCTTACTTGACGAAGAATCTTTCCATTGGTGTTCAGTAGATTCACAACTCGTCGGGGCTTAGCATAGGAGCGGCGTCACTCGCTTCCCCGTTGGTTGACGCGCGCATCCATCCACACGATGCCATGCATCACTCTTCGCGCGCCGGCCCTATCGGCCCGGCCGCAATGCCCCGCGCCCCTGCGGCGCGCGCCCCTTCGCGTGATGGCCGGCCCGCCGCCGTTCACGCGCACGGAGGCCCCTCCCGCGTCGCCTCGGGCCGCGTCGCCGCTGGCGTCAGTTTCGGTCGCGTCCCTGGCGTCGTTGGAGGAAGAGGAGGCGCAATCCAATGAGGCCGCGCAGCTGGAGCTGCAGCTCCGCGCCAACGCCGCGCTGGCCGACGCCCTGGGCGACGCGCGGCCCGCGGCGGCGGGCGCGGGGGAGGCGCGCGGGCGGCAGGTGCAGCGCGCGCCGAGCGGGCCGCTGGCAGGCATACTGGAGAAGCTGCCCTTCAAACTAGACGGCCGCATGCGGGGCCTCATCCTGCTGAACATCATGTGAGTGGCGCTGCCGGCCGCTGCCGTTGGCTGCAAACACGCTGAACCCGTGCGCAGCAAGGATGCGCAGCAGGGTGCACCGGGCCCAACGCAATCGGACGCGCCTTGGCGCCCTCCGCACGCAGCGTGCGCCACCTTCGCGCGTAGGAGCATCCTCAGCCGCGCCACCTCAGCGGGACGCGCTCCACCCGCCTGCCCCGCCGACGCCGCCTGCCTTTTTGCTTCCCCGCCATCAACAGGACCCTCATCATGTCATCCAATTGGATGGTGGTCAAGACGGCCAACGAGGCCACCATGACTGACACCACGATTTTCATGTCGCTGCGCTTCGCGCTGGCGGCCGCCGTGTTTGCGCCCTTCTTCAAGCCGGACGCACGCGTGTTCAAGGCGGGCGTGCAAGTGGGGGTGTGGTACGCGGCCGGCTACATCGCGCAGGTGCGAGGGGCCCAACACCCTCAGGTCCTCCGCAGGCAAAAATCCAAGGGCGTTCAGTATTGAGCAGGCAGGCCGCGGCTGTTTGTGCCGTGCGCTCCCGCTGCTTGTCGGCGCCGCTGGGGATTTTGCAGCGGCGGTCCCTGCTGAACACAGGGCGCTGCCCCCCCTGTGCTGCGCCCCGCCCCTTGCATCCCCTGCCCCCGCCTTTTCCCTGCGCCTGGGCGGACTGCCCTGGCGGCCAGCCAGGCGTATGGCCGCCAGCCACGCCGTATTTCCACAGTCCACAAATCTTCCCCACCTCCTGCCCCCCAGACGCCCCACGCCCTCCACGTTTCCCTGCCCCTCACCCACCTACCCCTTCGGTCTCTCCGTTCTGCCCCCTCCAGTCGCTGGCGCTCGCCGGCACGTCCGCATCCCGCGCGTCCCTGCTGTCCACGTTCACGGTGCTCGCTGTGCCCGTAATCGGCGCGTTCAACGGGCAGCACATTCGCCCCATCGTCTGGGCCTGCGCGGCGGCGGCGCTCGTCGGGACGGGCATGCTGGTGAGCAGCCGGGGCGCGGCGGCGCCATAGTAATGAGTGCTGCAGCCACCAGCACCTTTGGGCCACGATGGTGGTGCAGGGGAGCTTGTGGAGCATCATGCAGTCTCATCGCTTCTTGGCGTTTGCCGCCTGCGCTGCTGCGCTTGGCAAGCCTACCCCTGCCGCCTGCTGCGCGCTCAGGGCACGCTTCCTTGAGGCTTGGACGCACAGCAGGCACACCTGTCACACCCTTAGCCGCCCGCGAGCGCTGCGGATGCTGGAGGCCCTCACCTCGAACCCCAAATCCGGCTCGACCCCGCAGGAGGAGGGCAGCAGCCTGGGCGGCCCCAACGTCGGCGACGCCTGGGCCGTCGCCAGCGCCGTCTTCTTCGCCTTCCAGATATTCTTCGCCGAGCGCAACATGCGGCGGCTGCCGCCCAAGAGCGAGCTGCCCCTGATGGCCGTGGCCATGTTCACCGTCGCCACGCTCTCGGCCGGCGCCGCCGCGGTCATGCACTTCCGCGCGGGCGACTTCGGGGCCGTCGCGGCCGGGCTGAAGGAGCTGCTGCACGACTGGCAGGCGGCGCTGCCGGCGGCGCTGGGTGGCGGCGCGGCGGTGCCGGCGGCGGAGGCGGCGGAGGCGGTGCGGACGGCGCAGCAGCTGTTCTACACGGCACTGTTCAGCACCAACCTGGTGCTGCTGATCGAGCTCTTTGCGCTGCAGGTGGGGTGGGTGGGGCGAGCGGGAGGGTGCATTTTGGGCTTGAGGGGAAGCTGCCTGGGGCGCGGCCCCTGCCAACCCTGTCGCCGTGATTTGTGGCGCTGCTTAGGTGCCGCTTATAGGCACCTCGCAATCAGGGCGCACAGGGGCCCATGGGCCTGGGGCATTGCCCCGCGCCGCTGCCCTTGGACTGCCCGTTGCCGGCTGCGTTGGCACGTTGACGCACAGGTACGGGTTGGCGCTCGGCCGCGGCCCAGCGAGTAAAACGCTCGCTGGGCCGCGAAGTGCAGGAATGCAGCAACGCAAGCAAGCGTCAACCCCGGAACAAACCCCCATCGCCCCACCAGGATGTGTCGTCCACGGACGCGGCGATGATCTACTCGCTCGAGCCTGTGCTGGGCGCCCTCATGGCCTATGCGTTCCTTGGGGAGCGCTGGGGCGCCTGGGGCTGGGCCGGCGGCGGCGTGATCCTGGCCGCGAGCCTGCTGACGCAATTCGCGGGCGCGGTCGAGAGCGGCAGCGACAGCGACGGCGGCGGTCGCGCGAACGGCAACGGCGACGGGAAGCGGGACTGAGGAAGTTGCCTGAGACGCCTCCCCGGCCCAGAATTGTGTCCTGTCGATGGCCCTTAGTTTTTGAGGTCCTGATTTTGCAGATCACACAGCACACAAGGGCAAGACAGGCGTGGGTGGCAGCAGCCTGTTGTGCGTTCTTGTGAAGGCCCCAGGTGCTGCGCCGCATGTTAGGCAAGCCCTCAATTCACATTGATGCGTCCCAGTGGCTCACTCCGAACTGCCCGCGGTTGCGCGGCGCTGCTTAGCGCGTTTTTGAGCTTGAGCCGCGGTTGGGGCGGCCAGACGACTGCCTTGAGGCCGCGCATGTGCGCGCCGATCCTGGCCGGACCTGCGCTCCAAAGCCCCTCTCCACTCTGCCTCATCCTTCAAACCTGGGGCGTCGTCCCCGTTTTTCCCGCCCTCCGAGGCTTGGTGCACCCCCCGCCAACAGGGCCGCCCCCACCGCGCCTCGCTTCAGCGCCCTTGGCGCGACATCCCAAGTTGAAACTTGCCATTAGGGCCTCACCCTGGCTGTTGTTGGGCGCGCATTCCAGCGCAGCACTGAGCGGCCTTGATCATGCACTCACAGGTATATACCGAACGTCGATCTCGGCCCGGCCCAGCATGCGCGCGTCCCAGTTTTGCCAACCCTCATGTTCCCGCCGTGCGCCGCGCTGCTGCTGCAAAAGCAGACGTCTTGATCGGCCAGCGCGCGCTGCTTGTGAGCTGGGCCGCGCTCCACGGCCTGATGCTGATGCTCCCCTACTTTCCATCCGTCCTCTTGTGCCCTCCCTACTGATGTGCCATTCCCATGCCCACGTGTCAAGTTGTGGTCGTTGCCCTTCCCCTGTCAGGCTCAGCTCTATTTGCAGTGTCCAATTTGGTTGCGCCTGGACGATGTCCCTGGCGCGTGCTCATTGTAGGCACGGAAGTGCTCAGTGAAGTTTGGTGGCTTGGGACCACAAGCGCACAAGGTAATGAAGTCATACGTTGATCTGTGTGATGAGTCAATATCCTCAAGTATATTCAGCAAGCAGCGGCTGGGGGGACCCAGGATGCCCGTGGCGGGCCAAGGCACCACTGATGATGATCTGCAACCGACCGCAGGCGCAGATTTGCGCAGTCCGGCTGAGCACAACCCTGCCTCACCAACTTGCACGCTTTGGGAAGCCTCGAGCTCATTCAGGGCTCAGTCAGCTGTCTGGGCATGGGCCGAGGCATGGGCCGATGCTGATCGCACCATGCACAATGTTCATTCAGGCAGGACTGCACACTGACCAGTGAAGCACCTTGCAGCATTACAGGTGGGTCAGAGCAAAGCAGAGGTTGAAGACCTCCAGACGAAGGCCACGCAGCAAGTCGAAGGCCCTGTGGGGTAGAGCTGGAAGCATAATGCAATGTGACAATGACAGATGAGGTCAGCCTGCGCATCCCGTGCAAGTGCAGCGCACAGCGTTCAATAGGGTGTCAATGATGTATCGAGAGACTCCAGTAAGACTCCAGTAAGACTTGCACCCAGGGGTCAACTCATATAACATCAGCAGTGCAGGTGTCCAGAATTTGCCGCGCGTTGTTCCCTGTGCGTTCAACAATCGCGAGCGGTTGTAGACAACTTGCATGCCCGACCAAAATATTCAGTCACCCCTCGCCCCCCGGGGTTGTCACAGGTGTCAACCGATGGCAGGCATCGCAGCAGCACCCCTCTCGTACTGCAGCAGCAGCTCGAGGCAGGTGTCGTCATCGGCCTCCATGATGACGTCACCACTGGTGACATCAACGCCGGTGACGCCGCCGCATCCATCCATGCCCCCGCAACCGCCGTGCGCCCCCAGCCTGCCGCTCGGCGCACAGCAGCCCGCCCACTGCCAGGCTGGTGCGCAGGGGCCCCCAGGCGGTGCCGGCGGGGGCGGCGTTGCAACGGAGGGTCCCGAGACGGCGGCCGCAGCGCCAATGGTTTCGCGAAGCCTCCCATGGCATGAGGTCGGGGACGCGTGTGCGGCGGCCTGGCGTTCAAACTCTTCCAGCACTTGCAAAAATGCCGCGTTTTCGTCCTCATCCTGCTGCTGCTGCTGCTGCTGCTGCTGCTGCTGCTGCTGTCCATTGCCTCCGCTGCCTGAAGCTGCCCAACCATCACCCGACGCCACTGCGCCTTGCTGGTGGCAGCCCCAGGCCTGCTGTTGCTGCTGTTGCTGCTGTTGCTGCTGCTGCTGCTGCTGCTGTGCCGTCAGCGCCGCCTCGCGGTAGCGCTCCCAGATGTCCAGTGGCAGCGGCATGCACTCCGATCGGTAACCCCTGCACTCCGGGTCATAGCACCTGGGGATGGGGGGGGGGAGCACCGGCACGCGCAGGGGTCGTCGGAACACGTGCAGAGCGCCTGGTGAGGAGTGAGCAAGGCGGCGGGCGCGAGTGGTGCGGCGCTGCTGCCCCTCGGCGCACGCCCTTCACCACACGCCCCGCCTCGCCTCCACCTTGCCCGCGTCGCGCCCCGGCCGGCCCCATCCGCGCAAGCTGTTTGGCGACGATTGGTCAGCCAGTGTCGCACACACTCGTCCAAAAGCCTGTCACCCCGCAGCCACCCCCGGCCCTCCGCCCGCGCACCGCTGGTGCCAAGTGCCGCCCGCGAGGTCGACCACGTAGTAAACCCCGTTGCTGCGGTGCGGGCGCCCCACGTTGCCGCACCACCGGTTGTCGCGCACGTTGAGCAGCAGCCCCGCGGCCGCGCGGCTGTGCACCCAGCTGCGCACGCGGCCCTGGCTCCCGCCCTGAGAAGGGGTCCGCAGGCCGCGGCGGGACGGACGGGCAGGACGAGTGAGCGGCAGGCGCAGCTGGCTTGCATCACGGCTCGGTTCAGGGATTGAGCCGCCCTCCGAGGGGCCTGCGTTTGCGGGCCGTCGCTTCGCGGTGTCTCCACGCGCCACCACTGCATCGCCCCGTGCACCGGCGGCCGCGTCGCGCGTGCCTACCTGCGTGCACACGGACTCAACAAACGCGTCCACAGCGGGAAACGGCGACGGCGCCGCGCGCGCCTCCGACGCGTCCTGCCATGCCCCGGCGCCGGCGCCAGCACCTGCCCAAGCGCGGCCCTGCTGCTGCCGCTGTCCCGCGGGCCCCGTCGCGGCCGCAGGCGCCGCGACAGAGTGGTGCAGCGCCGTTATGCCCCGCCACTCGGGTGGCAGCTGTTCTAGCAGCGGCTCCCAGTCAACGCCCTCGCAGCGCAGAAGGCTGACCGGCCGTGGCCGCGGCCGCGGCCCTGGTGTTGCGGCGGTGGTGTGCGCCAGCTGAGACACGAGCTCGCTTTGTTTGTGGGGCTTCCGGCCGTGCTCTGGTGCTGCGGTTGGGTGCGAGTCCTGTGGGTACTGCCGCGGGCCCAGCGGCGCCCGTCCCAAGAGGCTGCGCCCTGCCGCGCCGCCGTCGCCGCCGCCGGACCGGACCAGCCGGTGGGCTGGCAGCCAGGCGACCCTGGTCGTCGGAGGCGCCAGCGGCTCGTCCCCGCACTGCTGCTGCTGCTGCTGCTGCTGCTGCTGCTGCTGCTGCTGCTGCTGCTGCAGCAGCGCCCAGGCCGCCCGGCACGGCCCGAAGGGCGTGTTTGAGATGAGGCTGTCGAAGAAGAACTCGCGCGGGTCGCGAGCCGCGCCGCCGAAGCGGTGGGTGGCGCGCAGGTGGGCGTCGCGGCCCGCCTTGCTGGAGAGGTGCAGTCGGAAGGCCCTGCGAGGTTTGTATGGGAGGGGGGGGGGTGCCAGCACGGCTGCAGCGCGATGGCGGAGGCTCTCGATGACTCCGCGTATGAGAACCATTCGGTATAACTTTGATTAGCATGCCTTATGGAGCTTGCGTGCATGCGCGCGCGCAAACACACACACACACATACATACACACAAACACACGTGCACATACACACACAAATTCTCCCCCTAATGTACAAGCACGCGCGGGAGTGCCCCACATGCACCACTGCCCGCAGCTGGTCTGCTCCCCCTGCCACTGAGGCAAGCCGTCCATCCCCGCAAGCACCAGCCCCACCTGTTGCGCGTGTACACCCCCATGTCCACCGCCAGCGTGGCGCCGCCCCCCTTGGCCGCGACCACCAGCCCGGCGTGGCGCGTGCTGTGTCGCGCCTTGCACAGCATGCGCAGCACCACCAAACGAACGAACGCGCCTGCGCGCGGGCAAGGCGGGAGCACAAGGTATTGCTGCACGCTCTGGCTTCAAGCAAAGCGAGGCAAACCCTGCTCTTGCATGCGCGCGATGTTTGACCAGCAGGTGCTCGACCCCGTACATTTACCACGATTTGGGTGGCGAGCGCCGCGGGCGCCCACCTGCGTGCGCATTGTCTGCGAAGGCAAGCCCCGGCAGCCGGACCACCAGGTGACGCGACCACTTGTCTGGCGTCGACGAGTCCAGCTCCAGGACCATACTGGGGTGCAGCACAGCATCATACACGTCCTGCGGGTATTTTGGGGTTGTTGGGGGCGTCAAAGTGGGGCCGGAAACCAGCTTCTGTGGTGGCTTGAGGATTTTGCAGTCGTCGAGGTGGGGCCGGAAAACAGGCAGGCGTTGGTGGGTTGCGACGGCAGGCTTCAAAGCGGCAGGAGAGGGAGGCAGTCAGGGCTATGCCGTGTCTGCAACCGCAGGATCGGGCGCTGGCGTTGCCTAGGGATATATCCATGTAGAGGTAGACCACAGCACCCGGGCAGAGGCCGGCCGCCGCACTCCCACAACTTCTCACGAGTCATTCCTCCGCCGCCTGACAGGCTGCCGCCTGCAGCCGCTGCATCCGGCCCTGCAGGTAACACCGTCCCTTGCCCCGCGCGCAGACGGCGTCCAGCAGGCTGCACCGGGCCATAACACGGCCCGGGCGGCAGCAGACGGGCGGCCCACTCACCCTCAGGGTTTCTCCGACCTCCTGGGTCAAGAGCGTCACCAGCGCTCCGCCGTCCACCCCGGGGTTGAGCGCCGGCACAAACTCCAGATCAAAGTACAGGTGGCAGGGGCACCGCTCACGGATGATCTGGGGTGGGAGGCCGGGGTTCGCAGGGTTCGGGCATTAGGAGCCTTGGAGAGGGATGCGGCGCGTGTGGCTGCAAGCATAGGCATCCTTCAAGCGCGAATCAGCCGCGCCGCCGTCCACGCGGGGAAGGCAGTGGGCCGATGTGGGGCAGCCGCTGCTGCGCCGCCAGGCGCACCTCATAGTGGTTGCGCTGCGCATGTGGCAGCGCTCGGTACTCCGCCCAAAACCGCTCCGGGGCAGCCACAATGAAGGACCGCCGCCCGCTCGCGTCCCACTCGACCGCAAACGTCCTCAGCAGGTGGGCGTGGTGCGCCGGCTGCGCATCCCAGAAGTCAAAGGCGGCCTGCTGCGTCGGGAAAGTGCGGTAGACCGACAGCGCGCGACGGCTGCATTCTGCAATATCGTCGGCAGCGTCTCCGGGCCCGTTTGCGCGCCGCTGTCGCTTGGCGGGTGGCTCTGGCGCGCCGGCGCCGCAGCTTCCGCTGCCTCGTGTCGTGGCGTGAAAGCGGCTGGAGAGCACCTTGGGGACCTTCAGGGGCGCACCGGCGGAGGGCCACCGGCGGCTTTCAGACATCGCCACATGGGAGCGGCGCGGCGCGAGCGAGCCGACCCGCTTTCGGAGCCCCTGCACCGTTTATGTCACCCGTGCTTACCAGCAACGCAGCTGAGGATGCTGTATGTATCATGTTCACTTCACGCGTGCTATTAGTACCATATAGGCGCTACCGTATGGAATGCCTGAGCCAGGCTCAGCGGTGTTGTTGAGCTGGGACAGCGGCTGTTAGGGAGGTACAAAATGTGCAGCGTACGTGACGATTAGAATACCGTATGTACGCAGTGGCATCGCAATCGGATGTGCGAAGCTGCAAAATCTGATGTCTCGCTTCTTAGTCAGGACGACCTGATCTGATTGTCAGGTTGGCTGAGGCATACTTCACTCCGTTGTGTGGCCCTTTGCCATATCACACCTTTACGCACGCTCGAAACTTCTCAGGGCCTGCACGGCCTCGTCACGACGTCCGACACGCAGCAGCTCCGCCATCATGCTGTGCGCCGCCAGAGCACCTATTGTTGTTAAGAGCGGCGCCTTCGGCCGACCGTCACGCGTGCAGGTGGGCTGATGCGCTTGGCCGTCCGCTCCGTCAGCGCGTCAGCGCCGCTCCGACCGCCGACCGTGCCACGCAACGCCCTCTTCCCCCGCCGCAGTTTGCCCCGCGCAACGTGACCAGCAGCAGCAGCAACGGCTCTGCGCTGCCGGCGCCTACACAGCTTGATGAGATCAACCAGGCGCGTGGGGTTTCGGTCGGGCGGACCTGCGAGCAGGGGGGGGCTCGCCAACAGTGAAATCCGACCTTGGGAAGGTGTCCAGGGTGTTACAGTCAACCCTGTGGCCCGTTCTTCCTGATTTCAGGCCAAAATATTTAATTGGTGTGCTTTCCTCTGCCTGGACGCCGTGCAGGCCATTGGCAAGCACATCAAGAAGGCGGCCCTCGCCAGCCGGGCCACCCACCTTGCGCGGATCAACCGCGAGATCGGGCATCAGATCAAGCTGGCAGCGCGCCTGGCAGCTGCGGGAAAGCTGAAGGCCAAGCCGGCAAGCAAGCCCAAGGAGGCGGATACTGCCAAGGTCAAGAAGGCAGCTCCTTGAAACGTTGCCTTGGCTGGACGGACTGCCAGGCGCCGTCAGGGCCCCACTATTGGAGCTGCTACCAGTTGCTCGGCGCCTCCCACCGTCTTTGTTTGCATGTGGCAAACACTGTCATTCACATCTGAACGGTAACAGTGGCCATGGGTGGCAACATCTTGGCGAGTGTATGTGCCCGCTTGGTATGGGCTGTGCATGTTGTTCGAAACTGTTACTGGATGCCTGCGAGGGTGTCGGGGCACTGCAGCGCCAGTGCAAGCCCTGTTTGGAGCGGTGGTCGGCTTTCATGGAAGTGCCCACGAGCTGGCGTGCATCCATCGCCAAGCTGCACCTCAACATACAGCCTGTGTGCCTGTTGGAACCAGCCTGCTGTTGTCGCTGTTTTGCCGAGTGTTTCTCATCTCAGCTGCAAGAGAGGTTTTGGCGACTGGAAACGTTGTTTTGCTCACACAAACGAAATGCCTTCAGTCATCCTGTAACAATACAAACGCATGCTCGACAAAAATCTTGTTACTTGAAACAGAATTATCCAATCTGCAGCCCAAAATAATGTCAACGTGGGCAGGCAGGCGCTTTGAATACGAGTGTGTGACACAGCAGCAGTGGTTGAAGGGGCAGCTCGCCACTCAGGCCTCGCCGCCCCGCACGGACACCTCGCGGCGTGGCACCAGCGGCATTAGCGACAACAGCAGCAGCAGCGACACCGTCTGCATGGCCGCGGTCACAAGAACACCGCGTCGAAGCCGTGGCAGCGGATGACGTAGCCGCCGACCAGGGCAGACCCGCTCCAGCCAAAAGAGGTGACCGCGTCCAGGCTGTTCCAGCGGCCTCTCTGGGACTTTGGGGCGTAGTCCATCTGTGCGGCGGGGCACGCAACATGCGGGCAGCCGGGCGACGCACGTCTAGCAGGTGTTGGGTGCCAGCGGGAACGGGAGTAGAGCGCTTGGGTGGGGTGGCCTCCATCCCGCATCCCTGCAGGAGATGGGACAATTCGGCCAAGGCAGCGGTGGCAGTGACATGCAGGCCCCATGCAAAATCCCGGCTCAAACACGCAAACATGCGGCCCACCAGAATCGACTTTTGTAGGGCTGGGGTGGCGTTCATGAGGCATGTCCGCGCAACGTAGATGGGCAGCATCAGGGCGGGCCGCCGCCAGAGGTCGCGGCGCGCCGCAATTGTGACCAGCAGGCTGATGCCTGATGGGCGCCAAAGAGAGGGAACAAAATAAAGTGTGCACATTAGGTGGTGCCTTGATACTGAATGTAACCCCCTCTGCTTGGCTGTGGTGTCCGCTGGTGCGCCGTCTTGCGCAAACGTGTTGCAAATCTGACTGCCGCTCAGCAGGTCAGCCACAGCGTGGCCATGCAACCTCGCCCTTCGGCCCTGCACCTGTCGCCTTGAACGCGGCAATTGTCTGAACCCGGCCGGTGCGCCGGCTGACGGCGCGCGCGGCCACACTGCACAGGGTGAGGCCCAGCGGCACCACTGCTAGCAGGAAGCAGAGCGACGTCGGTCTCAAGCCAACCTGCCGGGTTTGCATGGAGGGAAGCAATTGTGGTGCCGATCCTGCCGTGCAGCACTCTGGTAGGCAGGTGCAGGACAGTGAAGAGAAGCCAAGGGGCAAGGAGGGAGGATGGGAGTGGTGCGCCCGCTGCCGTCCGAGCTTTAATGCACGAGTGCGCTTTTCACTGACTGCATATGCGGTAGCGAAACGGCCGGCCTTCCATCGCCACGGCAGGACAGCGCCCGCAAGGAAAGTAGCGCACCTCATCCTTGAAGAAGATGGGAAAGAACGAGATCGTCATTCCAGAAGCTAGACCAGACACACAGTCCGACACCGCCAGCACCGGTGGAATAGCCGCTGCCGTTAGCCAGCCGCTGGCTTGCGGGTCAGTCCCATCACCCGCGCAGCCTGGCGCTCCGGTGCTGCTGATTGGTAGCTGCTTCACCGGCTGCCCTACAGTGTCCAGCCCCACTAATTGCTCTGCAGCTGCCGCGTCATTCAGGGATGCAGGCTGCTCGACATCGCTTGTGCCAATACGCCACACGGTCACGCTATTACCGCTCGGCGTGCCCTCGACGTGCTTGTCTGCTGTCCCGACCGCCCCAAGCAGGAAGGGTGCGGTGCCCCCCACCTGGTCACTGATTATGCTACGGCTGCTGCCGGGCGCATCTTCCCCTGGCAGTTGCTGCTGCTGCTGCTGCTGCTGCTGCTGCTGCTGCTGCTGATGATGATGATGATGACGACGCTGCTCCTGCTGCTGTTGCATTTGCTGCTGCTGGCCAGGATCCATAATACAGTCATCGAGCTGTGCAGCCTGTCTCTGAGCTGCCTCCACGCTCCCGTGGCCAAAATCTGATGAGCTGCGCAGCCCTCGAGGCTCCCCAGCCAGCAGCGGCCGGCTCTCATCACACCACTGGCTGGCCTTGCCATTGCGCGCATCGTGGCTGCTGGCTGCGGCGACGAGCGAACCACGGTCGTTCCAACTCAAAGCCGGCGCCGCTGCCGCAGCCACCGCGGCGTGCAGGCCCTCACTCTCTGCGCCAAGGTCTGACGGGAGGAAGAACAGCATCAGGCAGGAGGGCGCCAGCGCAATCAGCTGGCCGGCCAGCATGACCCGGCCAAGCACAGCCAAAGACCACTGGTTGCCGCCGCGCGCGAAGAGGCACGCGGAGAGCAGTGGCCCGACGGCGCGCGAGAGAAAGCCCGCAATCTGGTTGGCCGTGTAGACGCCGGCGCGCGATCCGGTGGCCACAGAGTCCGCAAACAGCGCGTCAAGGACGGGGCCTGAGCCCTGAGGCAATGGATAGGGTAACGGTGGACGGAGGAGAATTCAAGCAGACCCTTGCAACAACGTAGCCCCATTGCTGCGGTCGCATGCACGGTGTGCGTGGCGAGCGGCCACAGAGCAACGGCCTGCAGCTGCCTTTTCATTATGCCCGGCGGCCTGCCCGCACCTGCGCCATCCCCCAGAGCGCCAGCGCGACGCACAGCAGGTTGAACCGCTGGGCCTCGCCCGCGGCCAGCGCGCGCAGCGTCGCCATCGTCGCCAGGAGGGATACGGCGCCGGCGGCCCGCAAGACCACATGGCGAGGAACCAGCTTGTCGGCCAGCCATCCGACTGCGAGCATGCGGGGCGGAGGAGCTGGAAGCAACTGTTGCATGCGCCTCCATGCGAGGGCATGCGCAGCAAGGCCGGCACACATGCGGCTGCGTGGTCGATGCATGTGCGTATTTGCGCAGCCGCCACGCTCACGTGGCACGGCGGTTGCGGCCAGGGCTGTGCCTAGCACCGCCTGAGCGACGCCCACCTCCTGGGTTGGCAACAGAGTGGGGGATGGGCAGCAACACTTGTGATGAGCGCACATGGGGTGCAGCTTGCTGACGCCCAGCAGTTACATGAGCGCGCCCAAGCGCACGTAGGCTGCACGCTGCGAGGCACCCGATGAAGTTTGCACCGTGGTAGCACACCTGATTCCCGGCCGGAGTGCTGCCAAAGAGCAGACTGATGTAGTTGGAGAGAACAGCCCCTCCCCAGATTCCCGTCGCGACGCCGTCGAGCGCGCGGAAAGCAAGCGACAGCCGCACATTGTGGCGTGCACGAGCCCCCAACTGCGGGACACCCATCGTTGGCTGCAAAACTGCCTGCTGCCGAAGCGAGCGGGGGTGGTGCATGCATCGATTTGGGGAGCGCAGCACGACAGCATGAGCAGAGCCAGCAAACACAGCATGAGCAGGCGTGCTGATGGCAGACGGAGCACAGCGCAGCTGCTCATGCTCACTCACGCACCCCTCTTGACACCTCAGTCGTCTTATAATAAGTCCTTTGGCGGCATGACTTTGCCAGAACAATTCAAACAGCACCACTGTAGATCGATGCGCGCTCTGCCGCGCGCTGGTCGTGCACCAGTCCGTCCCTATAGACCAGCAAGGCTACAACAAGGCATGTGAGCACGTTCATCGACACACTTGCTGGCGCATTGTTCTGAATAAGTGTTTGGTCACGACCCTGCGTTGACCCACCAGCACCTGGTGAGACAGGCGCTGCGCTGCGTTGCGCCTCGCCAACCTCACAATCCTGTCAGCTCCTCGTGAGAGTAAGAGATGACCAAGCTATCTTATGAAATGTGATGCACTCACTGTTGCATTTCAAACCCGCTGCGTTGGGTGGCAGCTGTCCCCTGCGCTGCCCTGCCGCCACACGGGAACGAGCAGTTGAGTACCCGTCTCTGCTTGCATGATAAGGGATGCTTCGTCACTCAATGCTATGTACATTGACCTGCCAATAGTGGATTGCTGCTAGTTTGGCAGTCGCCACAAGACACACCACTGCCTGCCGAGTCCGGAATGCCATGCCCCAGCGCGCAGGACCTGCCCACTATTGCGTGGCATCGTCAGCAGGTCTTGGTGATGTCTAAAATACCACTTGTATCAAATTGTGACGCTCAGCCTGGCCGTACGAGCAACACGCCGACTGTTACTCACAGCCCAGCAATGCATAATCACTAGCACTGCATGAGCTTTAGGTGTGCTCAGCATTTGCTGTCGACGGATGCGCCGATTTCTGCATCCAATGCCCCCTCCATATGAAATGTGGGTGCTTGGATACAAGCACCATATGGCTGCCGCTTGCGAGACAAAGGATCTTGTTGATGGTGAGGCTGCCGGCGCAACCCCATGGCACGCACCCTTCCGACAGCACTGCTGACAACAGTGTTAAACGTTGCCTCAATATCCACACAACCTAACGGGCTGCACGGCTGCAGAACTGACACCGTTGGGCGAGGGGTGCTCATGTTCGCCTCGGCTCAACCGCAGGGGAGTGCCACAGATGAGCAGACGAGATGACGTGTTCGCACTTGCAAAATGAGGGCAGCAGACATGAATATGTACGAATATATCAGTTATGATACTTCCATGTCATTATAATCACCGTACACGCACGCCAAGCAACAATACCGTGTGCGGTATGACAGGGTGGATACGGCGTCCCTAACCCAGACACAGTAACAAAGGATCATGCACATTGTTACAGGGGAGTATTAGATTTTATGCACACCCCGATAGACGCGTCATAAGCCTTTCTTGGCTTGGCCCCGCGGCACAGCCCGGCGCAGGTGGCGCGCGGAGCAGATCCAGGCCTTCATCCACACAGTGAGTGTCAATTGAGGTATTAGTACTTCTTTGAGATATGACATCACCGGTGATGCAGATGGTTCGGATACGTCCGTCGTTTTTTGATCGCTGTTGTGGCCAGTGGCTGCCAGCAGGCCCATTCAAAAGGGTGCTTGCAACAAAATTATTCACATCACTGCCATTCTACGGCGCACGGCACAGCGGTTCTCAACATGTCGATGTCGAGCCCGACGGGCACGCACACCTCACCCGCCGGGCTTCAGCGGCCAACAACGCGCCCGCGCCCGCTCGCCGCCGTCGCTGTAGCCGTCCACACTGCAGACCCCCAAGCCTTCTGGCTGATGGCACGTCGAGGGCCCATGGCGGCCGGCCGCGCCACCCTGGCCCTGCTGGCAATCTCGCTGGCTGTCGCGGCCAGGCCGGCGGGCGCCCAGTCGCAGGGCGCCGCGCTGGAGCGGCTCAGGAGCGCCCTGCAGCCACAGGGGTGGTCGGGGATCGACCCCAACAAGGACATCTGCGAGGTGCGGCGCATGCGCAGGCATCAGGCGCGAGGGCGCGCCTATTCGGAGTGGCTGTGGCGACCAGCCAGGAGGAGCAACGGGGCGGCTTGCTACCGAGCGACCGTCCCGCCGCGACCGTCCCGCCGCGGGCGCCGTCGAGCCCACATGCCCGCGTCCACGACTGCGCCATGCCGGCGCACCTGCGTCGTGTGCGTCGCCCCCGCGCGGCGCCCCGGACCCCACTGCCAACCGCCACCCGCCCTTGTTCAGTATCCCGGCTACACTAACCCTGGAGTGCTGTGCGACGGCAGCAACGTGATCGGCCTGTGAGCGGCAAGGCTCGGGGGGGGGGGAGCGAAATAAGCGCGCAGGAGGGACGGCTTACGAGTTGTTGCTGCGGCAGCGCAGCCGCTAGGCCGAGGCTGTACAGGGGGCGGGGAAGCGGGCAGCAACGCTGATTGGGCGAACGCAGGGGAGGGAGGGGAGCGCCTTGGGGGGCCCAATCCTGCTGCACCAGTCGCAGGCGGGGCCGAGAGCAGCGGAGCTGGAGATGGGGCAGCAGGCACAAGGGGGTGGGGCGTGGACGCGGGGCTGCCGGGCGCCGCCCGGCCTGCAAGCCATTGACGGGCACAGCTTCTCATGGGATGCGCCGTCCAGCCGGCGGACTTGGCGGCCGCCCGCCCCTCCTTCGCTCCTCCCTGCCTGCATCCCAACCAGCCCCCCCCCCCGCCGCCTGACCCCTTGCGTCTCACCCGCCTGGGCGCCGGACGTGCCGGCGCCGCGCTGCGCAGGTATCTTGCAGGCAAGGGCTTGCGCGGCACCATCCCAGACGACCCCAAGCTCTGGTTTGACCTCCATTCGCTGCGCAAGGTCGACTTTTCGAACAACTGGTACCTCACGGGCACCCTGCCCGCAGCCCTGAGTAGTGCATCCGCCCTGGAGTCTGTGTGAGCGCAGGGGCAGGCAACGGGCTGCGCAGGCGGCGTCGCTGCGATCCGCGGCGACTGCGTATGCGCGGGTTAGCGCGGCGCTTGTTTGTGCAGACTTGCCTAGGGGGTTGCAGGCCTGATGGCCGGACGGCGGGTGGTCGAGGGGCGCTCCCAGCACTTCGCCGGTCCGCCTTGGCTCGCCCCTGCGGCCACGGGCCTCAGCGAGACTGCTACCAAAGGTGACACTCTGCTGCGCCCTCACCCCGCGCCGCGCCCCACACGCCCAGCAACGTGACGGAAACTGGCCTTCAAGGCAGCGTGCCTGCCTCCCTGTCCGGCAAAGTCATCGGGCTGCAAGGTCAATCCCAGCCCTCGCCGCCGCCGCC